AAGGCCTTGCGCAAGAATTCTCTCTCATTTCTCTCTAATACAAGAGCTTCCTTGCTAGCAATGTAGAGATCCTCTTATTGGATAAGAGTTTCCTCTCTAGATTCTAGCTTGACTTGGACACTCTCTAAATCCTCTATTAACTTAGTGATGAATAATTTGGTCTTTCCATCCAAGTTTTTAGTTATTTGGTCAATTTCTTCATCACTAGATCCATCATCATTAGAGCTATCACTAATATCACTACTAGAGATATCACTAGGAGGTGGAGGAGGTTTGGCTTTTGATTTTATCTTCTCACCCTTTGCCATGAGACAATTGTGAGGGGAGTAGTAGTCATCATCGGACATGTTGTTGAACAGCCTTGGTGTAGAGGATGGCTCGTGTATAGCTACGGTTGAATCCCATTTATGCCCAATGTGAGTCTCTCCCATGTACTTCTTTCTCATTCTATGGTCGTCCTTGTCCTCTTTCTTGTCCTTCTTATACTTGTTGTCATTGACCTCATACAGACACTTGACAATGAAATGATCGGTACTACCACAATTATAGCATGTCCTCTTCTTCTTGTTTGGAAACTTTCTCTTCACTACCTTGTAGCCTTGCTTCTTTAGCCCCTTTTGAAATCTCTTCATAAAGAGAGCAACATCATCGACCTTCTCATAATGTTCATCATCATTTTCATCTTTACTTGAGGATGATGTAGTCTCTACTTGCTCTTGGACTTGTTTGATTGCTTTTGGCTTGCTTGTTAAAGCTTGCTTATTGGTCTTGGACTTGCTAGTAGAGCCTTGCTTGCTTGATTTGTTGGCCTTGAGAGCTACATCCTTAATCTTTATGCCATCTTGCTTTGCTTGCAACTCACCAAGCTTCTTCCTCTCATTTGCTTCTTCTCTTTGCATGTCAAAGGTCAAGATCCTTCCAAGTACATCATTTGGTGTGAAGTACTCAAACTTCTTCTTGTCTCTAATTAGAGTCACCACGGTCTCATTTCTAGGTGAGTAAGCTTCCAACATAATCTTCACTACCTTGTGATCATTTAGCTCATCACTACCATAGCCTCTAATCTTTCCCACCATCGTCATCAATCTATCAAACATCTCTTGTGGCCCTTCTCCATCCAAGATCACGAACCGGTTGAGCTTGGCCATCAACAAATCAATTATTGTCTTCCTTACTTTGTTAGCCTCTTCATGTGTAAGATGCAAAGTGTCCCATATTTGCTTGGCAACATCAACACCAATCACTCAATTGTATTTATCATCATCCAAAGCACTAATCAACACACTTATGGCTTAGCCATTGAGAAGAATAATTCTCATTTCATCTAGAGTTAGATTCTTGGGATCAACTGGTGGCTCAAATCTAGTGCAAACAACCTCCCAAATGCCAGGGTGAAGACCTATAAGATAGGCTCTCATCAAGTGCTTCCACTTGACAAAGTTAGTCCCATCAAAATGAGGTAACTTTCCCGCGGGTACATTGATGAAAGACCTCTGATCATGGTTAGTCATAGGCATAGAAGAATAGTTAAAGGATACGGCGGTATATTTATTGTTGGTGTCGGCTTTGCCCTTTCCTTTCTTCTCCTTCTTGCCCCCCTTTGACACTTGGTAGGACTCATCATCATCTCTATCTTTGGAACTACTTGAGATGTCACTTGATGATGCATTAGTCGCCTTCTTTTCTTCTTCCTTCTTCTTCCTAGCTTCTCTTCTTTTTCTTCTTGCTTCTCTCTTGAGCTTTCTTTCTTCTTTTCTATGCTTCTTGTCTTCAAGCCTTTGCTGTTCCTTCTTCTTTTCTCTTGCTTCTCTTTTTGCTTTTCTAGCTGCCTTTATTTTTCTTCTTTCTTCTTTATTTTGAGCTTTCTCGGCATCGGTAGCCTCTAGCTGCGGGAGTGTGGTGTTGCTCATTGTAGATGCGCTGAGCTCACTCTATTGGTGTCGTGTAAGCTCACGTCCTTCGAATCAATGTCTACAAGCTTCACGCCACTAGATCCTCCTCCGAGCTCTATACCTCACGCGGTGAAGCGCTCACGAGGTAACCTGTTTTGATACCACTTGTAGGATCTCTAGTTCGGCTAGAGGGGGGGTGAATAGGCCTATTAAAACAAAACTTGAGCAAACGTTAAATTCAACCCGCGGCACTGCCGCTCTGACCCCGTGGCACTGCCGAGCTGCGACACTGCTGGGCCAGAACAGCGACACTACAGCACCTGTAGACAATTTCGAGTCACAATTCAAAATCTATGAATGGAAACTTAGATCAGAGAATTTACTGAGGTTCCTATAGGTATGTTGTTCATAGATCGACAACAGAAAGTCGTAGCACTAGTGTATACAATTAGATCGACCTCAAACCCTAAAAATCACCTCAACAACAATATAAAATGCAATGAAGTAAATCAAGCACAAGGTGACACAAGTGTTTATCCCGTGGTTCAGCTCGCCACCAAGGCTTGCCTAAGCCCACGTTGTTGAGGTTAGACACTAAGACTTAGGGCTTTGCAACCCTTCCTCATTCTCATGTTAAGAGAGTTAACTCTTGAGATGAAGGATGAGTTTACTAGGTTCAAGAGGTGGTTACAAACCTCCCAGGATTGCCACACGAGTTGGCAAGTTCCATGGGCGACGCTCTAGCTGACTAAGAGCAAGCTTCAAGAGTAACAAACACAATCCACCGGCTAAAATGTGAACCAAGTGCTCTTAGACTTTGTGAATCAATGGATTTTCTCTCTAATCGAGTTTTGGAGCCTTTTCTCTCAAGGATTGATAAGAAAATCACAAAGGAATGCTTGAAAGCTCAAGATCAACAATGGAGAGGAGAGAGAAAGAGCTAAGAGCTACTAGGCGTCGATCTGCTGGGCAGAGGAGGAAGAAGAGCCATTGGAGAGGGATGGGAAAGGTATAAATACCCCTAACCCCAACGGTCAGTTAAGTCGCGATAGTGTCGTGGCTCAACTGCGATAGTGCCGCACAACAACAGTGCCTCTCTTCAGGTGCGGCATAGCCGCACCAGGCAAGACAGCAAGAGTGAAAACGGTGATAAGCTGATTGTCTTGGCTGAGCATATGAGGATGTATGTGTATAAGATTAAGCACTTGGTTGCACACTTTAGCAAGTTTATTATGTCCCTCTTTATAGTACGACATTCCTATACTCAAATTCAAACTATAAAATGAAATAAACCTCCTTTTGAGCTTGATGCCGTCACCTTTTATAATTGGGAGCTCCTCTGTTATGTACAACATCCTTGATTCTAAATTCTCTACTTGTTATCTCGATAAATCTTATTAGTCCTCTAATTGCGTGGTCATTATCACCAAAACTCAATTAGGGCTCGATTGCACTTTCAAGCGCCCACTCCTTTCCTTCTTCTCCCTTTCCTTTTCTCCATGCGAAATCCTGGCCGCCATCACCGGTGAACCGAGCTCCTCTGCTAGCTCCTATCCCCTCCCTCGTCTGCCTATTTAAGCGGATTTGAGGCCCCGCGCATGCACGCCGCCTCCAACTTGCCCCTTTCCAAGCCGCCCTCCTGCTTCAACGCCTCTACCAAGTGCCACCATCGCCATTGTCGACCTCGCCCGGAGCTCCTAATCTCCCTACTTCGACCTCCGTTGGAACCGCAGTGGCACAAAGATGCCGCCACACCACTCCTCGGCGTCAATCCGAGCTAGCAACGCTGTTCCCCGACTCCCTGTCGCGCACTAGAGCTTCGCCTCCGCCTATTGTCCGCCATCATCAACCACCGCCACCGTCTCCTCCTGCCATAAAAACACCACCAAAGAGTTAGCGTGACTACTCTCATGCTCCACTGTCGGTCACCGGAGATCCCCATTCACCGGAGCCCACTCCCGGGCGACGTCGGAGGGAGCACCATGCCTGTGCTACGCAACAACGTGGGAAGGAGACAAGCCTCCACCCTCTCCCTCGTCGATGCTCGCGACTTCCCCTTGGTCCACCTCTGTGGTTCTCCGACGAGCTCCTTCCCTCTCCCTCGATGCGTGGTGATGGTCAGAGGTTAAAGGAGAACCTAACTTGTGTGGCCCACGCATGAGCTGTGTGGAGGGAGAAAAACAGAAGGGGATAAATAGGTTATTCCCCATGTTCTATAGGGGTTCACTGGGTTGCTGCCGCCCTGGCATGTCCACGTGACACGACAAGTTAGCGAAAATGGCAAACGGAAAAACTGCCAAACGCACGGTTGCCATCGGCAAGAGGGGGAAAAAGTTAAATATCCCTACGTATATCCTCCACAAAGCCCAAAGCAATCCTGTTTCACACGCGACAAGACACAAGACACGTCGAACCCAGGCGGTCGGCCGGGGCCGGCGCTGCGAGCCTGTGACTGCGACACCGCGGACGCCACGGCACTGGCGCGCTGCCATGCGGAGCCGAGCCGACGGTTCTCTTCAGGCCCTGTTTAGATGCGAAATTTTTTTTTTACTTTCGTTATTGTAGTATTTTCATTTGTATTTGACAAAAATTATCTAATTATTGATTATTTAGCCTTAAAAGATTCGTCTCGCTAATTATGGATAAACTGTACAATTAGTTATTCTTTTTACCTATATTTAATGCTTCATGCATATGACGTAAGATTTGATGTGACGAAAAATTTTGAAAAATTTTGGATTTTGGGTGGGATCTAAAAAGGGCCTCAGTTCAAAAAGGACCAGGCCGAGCCACTTGTCGAATCGACCGGTCCCACCACCTTTTCCCACTTTCCCCCCACCGCAGGTCAGCAGCTAGCCAATCGCGGGAGACGCTCGTCGTCCTCGCCGCCGTAACCGTCTCGGGGCCCGGCCTGCCTCCCCACGCCACGCCCACGCGCTCGTCGTAGCCAGTAGCCCCACCAACACGTACGGCGACCCCACGTAGCAGCTTCCTTAAAAACCTCGGCGGATGGCTGGGCCTGGGTTTCCGCTGCAACCCCACCACGTCCTCCTCCTAGTACTCCTCGTCCTCCCCTGCCTGCTTCCCTGTCTCCGCGCCACGACCGAGATGGCGCCAACCGCCTCCGCCGCCGCCGCCGGCGGAGGCTCCGACGAGGGCGCCAGCGCCCTGCTCGGGCTCCTGCAGCGGGTGCAGTCGGAGGCGCTGCGCGCGCTGGGGCCTCACGACTTCGACCCCAAGTTCTACGTCGACCTGCCGCTGGCGACCGACGAGCGCGCCGCGGACGCCGCCCTTGCTGCGCTGCCGCGCCCGGCGCCGTCGCGAGCGGAGCTAGATGACTTCCTGTCCCGCTACTTCGGGGACCCCGGGTCCGATCTCGTGCCGGCCGTCCCGCCCGACTTCCAGGTCGAGCCCCGCGGGTTCCTGCCCCGCGTCCACAGCCCCGAGGCGCGGGCGTGGGCGCTGGAGGTGCACGCGCTGTGGAAGCCCCTGGCGCGGCGGGTGGCGCCCGACGTCGCGGCGCGGCCGGACCGGCACACGCTGCTGCCGCTGCCCGGCGGGGTCGTCGTGCCGGGCTCCAGGTTCCGGGAGGTATACTACTGGGACTCCTACTGGGTCGTCAGGTATAGATCACCGCTCCTACCCGATCCGTCTCCGCTCGCTTGGTTTGACCGTCGCCGCTTTGCTCCATTACTTTACTGCTATGCTTGGTTTGACCGTCGCCGCTTTGCTCCATTATTGCTACGCTTTCCTTAGTCGCCTGCTACCATCAAACAGTACTATATTATTAAGGCATTGATTAGTTGCGCGAAATTTGTGAATTTGTCCATCCTAGCACTCTCGTTTTTATTTGACAATTATTATTTAATTATGAACTAATTATGCTTAAAACGTTCGTCTCACGATTTTCTACAAAACTGTGCAATTAATTATTTTTCGTCTATATTTAATGTTCTATATATGTATAGTAAGATTTGATGTGATTACTGCTGTAGCACTTTTTGGGAAAACTTTGTAAAATTAAACGAGGCCTAAGTAGTACAGCTCCTAGATCATGTATAGCACCGTAAGAGGCAAGTTGATGAATCCAGGTTCAGACACGTAGACTCTGTTCGGCCGATGTTTTTTTTCGGCCGTCGGCTCACGCCGTTGCGAGAGAAAAATATAATTCGATAGTACGGTTCTTCTCTCGTAGTTATCGCTGCTGCGGTCCCGCATGTAAGTGGTTGCTTAGTTTCCAAAAAGTTTTTCAAAAAATGTTACAGAACACATCGAATCTTACGATATGTGCATGGAGCATTAAATGTAGACAAAAAAACTAATTACACAGTTTGGTTGAAAATGACGAGACGAACGTTTTGAGCCTAATTAGTCCATAATTAAACACTAATTATCAAATAAAAACGAAAGTGGTACAGTAGCTAAATTCACAAATTTCGCGAACTAAACACAAACACAGCCTAAGGCAATCTCGTGATTTTCATTTGTGTGTTCCTGCGTTCGTCGTACGCTTTGTCATCACCTTGTCTGTTCTGTTCGTCGTACGCTTCGTCATCGCCACGTCTGTCCGTCGTGCGCATGTAGGAGTAATAAGGCCTTTTATATTACAAGTTTTTTCACTCTCTCTCCATCACATTAAATCTTTGGACACATGCATGGAGTATTAAATGTAAATAAAAAAAATAACTAATTACACTGTTTGATTGTAAATTACGAGACAAATCTTTTGAGCCTAGATAGGCTATGATGAGACAATAATTGTCAAATACAAACGAAAGTGCTACAGTGCCAAATACTGCCAAATACTGATTCCTAACCCTATCAAATCTTTGAACACATGCATGGAGTATTAAATGTAGATAAAAAAAATAACTAATTACACAGTTTGATTGTAAATTACGAGACAAATCTTTTGAGCCTAGTTAGGCCATGATTGGACAATAATTGTCAAATATAAACGAAAGTGCTACAGTGTCAAATACTGATTCCTAACCCCAATCAAGCCCTAAAAAGACTATGGACGCCTGACTTTTTTATGGGTGCTGGGCTGCTGGCTGCCGTGCTATGTATGGCCTTGTCATTGGAATTAGTTTTCTGAGACGAGATCATTGACAGTCCTTGGCTCCTTGCTTTTATCTGTTCTAGTTCCTACTGATCTCTTGTATGGTGGTTGTATATATTTTTTTTACCTACTGTACTCGTACGGATCCAAATAGACATTAGGAACGAACTAACCGTTCTTATTCTTGTTTTTGTTTCTTATATGGCGGTATGGCTCAATGCAGGGGACTGCTGGTGAGCAAAATGTATGACACGGCAAAGGCTATTGTGCTTAACCTTGTATACCTGTTGGAAAAATATGGTTTTGTTCCGAATGGTGCAAGATCCTATTACATTAACCGAAGGTGATAATTCTGTCTGCACCAGATTGATCTTTAGTATGCATCTACAGCCCAAAACATTTAAAGGAAGGTTTATGTATAATGTCTGTCTAAAGTTATATACTAGCTTCATGAGAAGATTAGAGGGCTGATTGAAGACTTGTATATGCAACATATTGCCAAGAGGTCATCATTATCTCATAGATGCTTTCTCTCTGCAGCCAACCACCACTTTTAAGCTCCATGGTTTTAGAAGTATACAGGGCAACTCGTGACGTGGAATTTGTTAGGAAAGTATTCCCCTCTCTGCCTAAAGAGCATAGCTTCTGGATGTCAGGTACCCCATGAAGACAGCAGGAGTTCAGATTTGTTTGGTATGTTTTGGCATGATTGAAAGCAAGGTAACATTACACTGTTTCTATATGCAGATATTCATAATGTGGCTATAGCGGACAATCATGGTCAGGTCCATAATTTGTCTCGGTATCAGGCTAGGTGGAACAAACCTAGGCCTGAAAGTGCGACAATCGTAAAGTCTTAGCCTTGGATACATTTTTAATTAATTTGCTAGTGACAGTGAAAAGTTTTACCATTAAAGGACCAACTAATAAGTTTTCTTCTTTAAGGATGAGGAACTGGCTTCGAAGGTTAATTCTATGGCTGCTAAGGAAAAACTATACAGCGAAATTGCTTCAACGGCAGAATCAGGATGGGATTTTAGCTCTCGATGGATGAGGTTTGGATGTTTGCTATCCTTAAAAAGGAACTAACGAGCTAACAGTTTTGCTGCTTTCGCTACACTGGTTAAAACAAGTACTGCAATAGAAGACACACCAAGCTCCATCGACCATTGATACGAATTTATTTTTGCACCGTGTACCGCAAGTTGTTTCTGAGTGGTTTTACTGTTTTATGTAGGAATTCTTCTGACATGACAACATTGGCAACCACTTGCATCATACCTGTGGACTTGAACACATTCATATTTAAGGTAAGATGTGGAGCTTGTCATGGTACTTGAAATTCGATGTGGAATGGTATGTGGGTTTAGCATGACTTGGGTGCATAATATTAAGCACATCTTGGAAGCTAGTTTGGAGAAAAAAGCATATCTAAATCCAGTCAACAATACTTGCAAACATGATAAAGTCTAGCTTTATTTATGCACGACACAGATGGAGCTGGATATTGGTGCCTTGGCTCAACTCGTAGGAGATAATGCAACTTCAGAAAAGTTTTTAAAGGCTTCAAGAGCACGTCATATTGCAATTGACTCTATTTTGTGGAACTCTGAGATGGAACAGTGGCTTGACTATTGGCTTCCTGCTGATGCAGACCGCCAGGTGCTCACAAACAGATCTTTATGATCTTATCCAGTTTTTATTAGCAATTTAGCACTTCCTGGTGGTGTAACTGATATGCATTATTATTCCAGGGAGTCCACGAATGGAAGTCTAACTTACAGAACCGCAACATATTTGCTTCTAACTTCATTCCGCTGTGGCTAAATGCATACCATTCCGGTGCGTCCTCGACTTGCATGTGTTTGTTTCTAATGCCTGAGTGTGCAATGCTTTATTATTTTTTTGAAACTTTCAACGGGGTGGATGCAATCCCCACCTGGTTATATTGCTTTTATTAAAAGAGGTTTGGCCTCGGCGGCCTACATATTGTAAGATTGTTCTCAGGGGAATTTACATTATCGATTACATTCTCAGAGTATGCAATGCTTTATTATGACAAATTTCTAAGACTATCCCAGCTACATGTTTTTTTTGTATTGTTAACTAGAATATCTTGTGAACTAAACTGTTCTAACAAATAACTGGAAAGTAACCATTGGCAACAGCTTTTTAACAATTCTTGATGGTATTAGCATGCTCTTTCCATGTTTCCAGGAAGAAGGAATAACCATTCGCTCACATTTTCTGAATGAAAGCAAACTCTTTGCTATTATATTCCTTCTTTGAATGAACGCAGAAGGTACATTTATATGTGAAGGAAGTACCATTCTAGTACAAGACTGCAACATTACAGACAGCTACATAAATTGAAACCTTTTTTGTCTGTCCTTTTTTTTTTGGTCTGTCTTTGTATTGTAAGAACAATTATTACGTCTGAAATTCTTGGGTTTTTTCTGGAAATAAATGTTTTACCCTTTATATTGTCACTTACTCCCACTGCCTTCAATTAACTAGGATCGGTATGCTTTGCTGATGAGGCAAAATCGAAGAGAGTCATGGTGAGCCTCAAGGCATCTGGATTACTTCATGCCGCAGGAATAGCAACTTCCCTGACAAACACGGGCCAACAATGGTTAGTTCCCACTGGAAACTATGGATGATAAAACTCCACCAGGTGAAACTTGTACCGGAAATATTTATTCTTTTCTAATTTCTTTAACAGTTGAGCAAATTATTGAACAGGGATTTCCCAAATGGATGGGCCCCACTGCAGCATCTTATAGCTGAGGGGCTGTTGCATTCTGGATCAGAGGCAAAAAATTTAGCTGAGGACATTGCTACGAGGTGGGTGAGAACAAACTATGCCGCTTACAAATCGACAGGCGCGATGCATGAGAAGTACAATGTTACCGCTTGTGGAGAATCCGGAGGCGGTGGTGAATACAAGCCCCAGGTATGGTGAAAGGCCCTTTCATCAGTTGTTTCTCAAGATTGATCTGACGATCAGCAGTTTGGGCATTTCTGATGACTGTCAACCTCATACAATTTTCTGCCTTGGTATCTTCTAGTAGTAATTACAGAAGCTGCGGGTTACTTTGTTAACCAATAAAACGAGAGATATAACATCTGTTCTGACTTGAGCTCATGGACATGTGTTTGGCAGACTGGTTTTGGCTGGTCCAATGGTGTGGTATTGTCATTCTTGGAAGAATTCGGGTGGCCAGAGGACAAGGAAATAGCCTGCTCAGGCAAAGTGATCACGACAGGGTGAATTTGGTCTCGCCGAAGAGCAATCTGGTTAGGCATCCTTCATTACAACCGTCCATAGATGGTTACGCGAGTGGTGCGGCATACACGTGGCGTGTGCGCATTGCAAAGTTCAGACATGCAAGTTTTACATTGCATTCTGCAGTTGAGCAAGTGTGTTTGTGTGTTCTATTGTTTGCTTGCGACTAGGCTAGTATCTGCTGGGTAATCTACAATATCTACTACTGTACCGGCTCTGACTCCTATATTTAAACTGAATACCCATTCTGTCCTCTTAACGAAAAATTTGCTTCGGCACGTTCTTCAAGAAAAAGTTACCCATTTTGCTCTCTTGAATACAAAAATCAGGGATCGCTCTAGATCATCTTGTGTGGCCCTGTTCACTTGACTTATCAGTCATGGTATAATATTTTTCTTTCATAATAAATCAACCAACAATACTTTTTAGCCTGACTTTTCAGCGAAGCGAACAATGCTTGTATTTTATGTGGTGTCTCTTGGTACTTGGTAGCCTGGTGATGGAAGGAAAACTAGGTCAGTTGGAAGGAAAGCGTGGCTACTTATCTAAGCAAGCGAATCAGGCGGCACCTTTGTAATCGGTTTGCTAACATTGTCGAGCTAGGAGGCCAGCCTCTCCCCCCGCCGGGGCCGGTGTCCACCGTAGCCAGCCACCGACGGCCACCCCGGCCTCGTCGCCCACCATAACTGCTGCTGCTTCGCTCGCCTCCATGGCTTCTCCTTCGGAGCGTGGCTCTTAGTCATGCCGTTCCTGGGCTGATGAGGTCGAAGAGCCTGAAGAGTTCGACTCCCTGCGTGGCCGCTTTACCGGGGCGTCGAGCCTCAACCCATTCGCGGCTCCCTTCTTGTCGGCGAGCTCTGGGGCCGGGTGTGCAGAACGGGTATCCCTCACCGACTCGGATGCTTCAGCGGACTATGTACCCCCCCTCCCCACCGCCTGAGGGTAGGGGCAAGCAAGTCGCGATGCCACGCCGGCGCCGCTCGCGGAGGAGACAACATGCTCGCGCCCCGATTAACGGTGGCTTCTTGGCGGACGCGCGTCGCACCCACCCGCGCGTCTCTCTACCGCGCGGTCACGTTGCCTCCGCCGTCGTTCACCCCGCCCGTCCCACGGGTCCGCCAGATGTGGAAGGCTTCTACCAGGTGCAGAGTCGTCGTCGCTGGCACCGGCGTGCCCCCCCCCCCAAACGGTAAAGCCCGTCCCTAAGAACCTTGTTGCCCTGTGCTTCAATTGCCTGACAGGAGATCACGTCAAGGCAGACTGCATCTGGAGGGCGAGGTGCTTTCTTTGCAAGCAGCCGAGCCACGAGGCCAGGGAGTGCCGGCTTGAGCTCCGTCAGTTGAGCGGCAAGCGTGGCCGCTCGCCATCCCATCGCGACACACGCCGGCGTGCCACCCCGCATCGGCGTGCTGAGCATCGGCGGGCTACGAACGATGATGACACGGCCTCCGCTCGGTTGGTCTCCACTGGTCGTTCTCCGTCTGTGCCCCGTTGCTGTGAACCTCCGACTCCTCCGCCGCCACCTCCTGAGGTTCCCGATAGGGAGGTAGTGGATAGCATGAACCCGGTGCCTGGCGCGCCGCTGGCGGAAGGACGCCTCACGGAGATAGTCGTCATCCCTCGCTCTGTGGAGCTGGAGGCAGCCAAGGAGGACATGTCACGTGCGCTGATTGCGATTGTTGGGGGTTGGTATGAACCCGCTAGGGTTGAATCCCGATCTTTCGATGAGAGGGCATGGGATAACTCGATTGGTGGATGGAGACGACGTTCATGGCCCGCCTACAGCCTTTCAAGTTGCGCCTTAGCAACCGATACACCACCTCCAATGGCTGCCGTGATCTTGTGGAGCGCGTCACCCGGCCACTAGGGCACTCGTACTGCAAACAATCGAAGAACTAGCAAGAACAAGTATAACAAGTACTGAATTTGCTAGATGAAGATGAAGGTTTCAAACTCAATCTCAAATAAGGTGGGGTTCCGGAGACAAGAAGTCGAGCGGCTGATCCAGCACGCGCGCTTACAAGCAAGTAGCGAGAGCTAAACTTGATCTAAACAAAACTCAACTATTCTTGGTGGCGGCTAAGGGGTATATGAAGGTGGAAGGACGACCACCAGGATGTTGGGGTCGTGCTCCAACCCTAGGACGCGTCCCTAATGGACCCGACTTGATACACGGCCCATTGGGCCAAACTAAGGCGATGCAGCACCTTTGGACAGAAAACCTCTCAGTAGTAATTCGGTTATTGCGGCCGCCTCAGAATAGATATGGACTTGATTCTAGATCCATGTGAAAATAGACTTCATAAGTATTCCATGAAGTACTTGAACGCCCCAATCCGAGCCCGTATGCGACCATGGTGACCATCATAAGTTGGAGCTGTCCTGGAGTCCGAATCCAGCCTGCGAGAATCCTTTTCCCTTTCGGTTTTCGGTCCTCTCCCTGGTTCCTAACCAAAACAAGAGTGCACGCGTCTCCATGGTCTAAATATGATGGACAGAAACTCAAGAGTGAACTTACTTGATGATTAAGTTGACGAGCACGGGCGCGAGTAATAGGACCAGAAACTGATACTTGTGTCGGCGTGGATGTATCGTTGGTGTTGATGTCCTAATCATCCTCCCCTTCTTGCATTTGAGTCGTCCTTGACTCAAGCTCTTCTTCTTCTCTCAAATATGGCTTCAAATCTGCAATGTTAAATGTGGGACTAACCCCAAAATTTGCTGGCAGATCGAGCTTATATGCATTATAATTAATTTTCTCTAACACTTTAAATGGTCCAGCAGCCCTAGGCATCAATTTAGACTTTCTCAATTCAGGAAACCTATCCTTTCTCAAGTGCAACCAAACTACCTGTCATTTGCATCACGTTTTACATACCTAACACAGTATGCAGTACCCCACAGGAGCATGGATGTAGGGGGAGCCCCATCACTTTTACTAAAATGTGAATCTTGGCTTCTTATGCCAATTTGAGAATTCAATTCTCTATTCACATACTTAGAGGGAGGCTCTACACCCATGGCTCAAAAATCTCAGTATTTATTTCATATCTTTTGTAAGCTCTAATTGGGTTGTCATCAATCACCAAAAAGGGGGAGATTGAAAGTGCAATCAAGCCCTAATTGTGGGTTTTGGTGATAATGACCACATAATTAGAGAACTAATGAGATTTATCAAGATGACATGCAGGGAATTTATATTTGAGGATGCTACACGAAACGAAGGAGCCCCCGATTACAAATGTAGATGGTTTTAAACTCAAAGGAGGTTTAAATTCTTTTATATTTTGAATTTGAGTATAGGAAAAGCCGTACTATAAAGGGGGACACAATGCTTAAGCTAATATGTGCTACCAAGTGCTCAAACAACCACATGCATCCTCAGATTCACAGCCAAGACAGTCTACACTTCACTATTACCCTTGTTGTCTTGCGTGGTGCAGCACTGCCGTACTTGAAGAGAGACACTACCGCACTTGAGTCACGGCACAAGGAAGTTAGCACCCACGCTGACTTCCCCGGATGGCTCGAGACATATTAAAAGGTCTCGCCCAACCCCAAGGTCATGGGCTCCATCTCGCCTGACCTCGAGGCCGCGGGCTCTGTCTCGGCCAACCTTGAGGCTACGGGCTCCGTCTCGCCCGACCTCGAGGACGCGGGTTCCATCTCGCCCAAAGTCGTGGGCTCCGTCTCGCCCGACCCCTTGGGTGCGGTGACCGTTGTGGGCTAGGGGGTATATATACCTTTTCCCTTTCTCCCCAATGGCTCTCTGCCTCTTCTTCCTCACATCAGCACACTCAAAACAGAGCAGGAGCTCTCTCTCTCTCTCTCCCTCTATTGTTGACCTCAAGCCTCCATGCAAATCCATTGATTTCCCCATCAATTCTTGAGGGAAAAGGGTCCAAAACTCGATTAGAGAGCAGCTCCATTGATTCCCCAACTCTAAAGAGCACTTGGTTCACGTTTTGGCCAGCGGTTGTGTTTGTTACTCTTAGAGCTTGGCTCCTAGATGGATAGAGCATCGCCCGTGGTGCTTGCCAACTTGTGTGGCAGCCCCGGGAGGTCTGTAACCATATCTTGAAGTTAGTAAGCTCACCCCTCATCTCAAGAGTTAAGTCTCTTGATTTGAGAATGAGGAAGGGTTGGAAAGCCCTAAGCCTTAGTGGCTAACCTCAACAACATGGAGGTTGGCAAGCCTTGGTGGCAAGCCAAACCATGGTATAAATCATTGTGTCACTTGTGCTTGATTTACATTACTTGCATGACATATTGTGGTTGAGGTGATTACTAGGGTTTCTAGTCGATCTACTTGTGTGGTGTTCCTACCACTTCTAGCTCTTGATCTATGATTGTCATACCTGTAGTAAGCTAGGAAATTTCTCCGATCTAAGTTTTCGTTCATGGATTTTGAACTGTGATTCGAAGTTGTCTACAGGTGTGGCAGTGCCGCTATTCTAGCCCGACAGTGCCGCAGTCCAGCAGTGCCACCCTCTAGAGCAGTAGTGCCGTTGGATGAATTTGATAAAAGTTTGAGTGTTTGTTTTGACAGGCCTATATATTCACCCCCTCTAGGCCAACTAGAGATCCTACAAGTGTTATCAGAGCCAGGTTACCTCATATACGCTTCACCGCGTGAGGTATGAAGCCTAGAGGAGGACCTAGTGGCATGAAGCCAGTGGATGACGATCTAGAGTGGGTTGATCTACACGACACCAACAGCAGTGAGTTGAGCATGTCGACAGCAAGCAACACCACGCTACCACATCTTGAGGCTACCGATGCCGAAAGCTCAAAAGAGAAGCAAGAGAGAAGAAGGAGGAGGAGGAGCGGTTAGAAGACAAGAAGCAAAGAAAAGAAGAAAGAAAGCTCAAAAGAGAAGCAAGAAAAAAAGAAGAGAAGCTAGGAAGAAGGAAGAAGAAGAGAAGGCAACAAATGAATCATCAAGCGACATATCAAGTAGTTCCGAAGATGGAGATGATGAGTCC